CCCTGCCTCTGTCCCTGCCCCTGCCCCTGCCTCTGCCCCTGCCCCTGCCTCTGTCCCTGCCTCTGTCCCTGCCTATGCCCCTGCCCCTGCCTCTGTCCCTGCCCCTGCCCCTGCCTCTGCCCCTGCCCCTGCCTCTGCCTGAGGAAACGGGGCTCTGTGCGCTCCTGTGAATGGGCAGGATCACACCTCACTTCTTGTAATTACTGAGGCCTTGCAGCTGGGGCATCTCTCCTGTCCCATTTTGGGTGCCGTGGCCTGATACTGTCCTGGCTTTCATCGTGTCCAGCTCTTCCTGCTCTGATCCATCCCAGGGACACACACTCTCCCCTGCTGCCCCTGGAGGTTTTCGAGCTGGACCATTTCTTGACCAAAGATTGCTGATAAGAGTTTGCATCTTGCATAGTGTCAATACCCCCAAAATGCGTGCCTGATACTGCAATATTATTAATGTTTTGGTGAGGGAGTCAGCCAGTTTGGGAGTGGGGTTGGGGTCTCCAGTGCCCCTCTCCCTATCTCTGGGGCAGCATGGAGGCAGGCGTGCTGTGTGCCGGGAGGTCAGAGCAGGCCCGGGGAGCGGGGGCCAGGCTATGCCACAGCACAGAGCAGAATGGAGCACGGGACTGGGGCTGTCAATGCTGTGGTGCTGTGAAAGACGACTTGAAAATAGGTCCTGAAAGAAACAGGCCTGCGAAAAACAAAGACTAAAACAGCCTGAGAAAGAGATAAAGGATAGCTGGGGGTGTGGAGGCCCCCCAGGCTAGAAATGTCTCAAACGCTTCGAGTAATGAAACTATAGTCATGCGGTGGGTGGTGTGGAGGGCGAAGCTGATCAGGCTGCTCCAATAACACAGGGTGCAGCTGGAGGGGGGAGCCCTGTGGAGACAGGACGGCTCTGCTCTGGGGCACCTGGACAAATTTCAAGGGCCACCTGTCCAGTGAATGACCTTTGCTTCTTTATCCATGAAATGCATGTTAAAATTAACACTCCTGAAAATGCTAATGAAGACTAACAAGATCATGCTAATTACATCATCGCATGAAACACCTTACCCCTTCCCATCCATGGGATACGTAGGTATGTGGGTTGACCTAGGGGACAGACCCAAGGAGAGTGGGTATAAATCAAGGTGGAGGTGTTCTGGGGAGTGAAGTGAAGCGAGGAAGATGGATGCCTCCTTGCACCCTCGCTGATCGATGCAGGAACCCAGGCCGGTGATCTCTATTCCTCTATTCTCTCTATCTCCCTCCTCTCCTTTTTCCCCTTTTCTTTCACTACCATGAAGTAATGCAAGGCACACTGTATCGCCACAACTCATTATATACATAGCCAATTATCGTGTATCCAATTAGTACATTGTGGGAAGTTAATAAATATCTGGACTTTGAGACTTGTCTCACCATTGTCCACTCTGTTGGGGATTTACAAATCTATGTCACTTGTCTCCCTCATCTAAGCGGGACATGACAGGTGCTACGCTTGGGTCAGGACTAAAGCTGTTGGCATCACTTGGGGTTACACATAGTATTGGCATTCGTTACGCCCACATCAGAAAGGCTCAGTTTCTAATAAACCCAATCTCGTTTTGATGTCAGTGCCTGAATTCCCACTGACTGAATTGCGAACAGGATTCCGTCTTTAAAGCATCAAATAAGCCAATTGCTCTGTCTTGGTTGTATTTTTCAGATGCCCGTACTCAACGTGAATACAACGAGAACCATATTATTACAGCACGCAGGATTGAACAGGTATGGGGGGATTACCCTTTGTGTGAACCATCCCTGGATTTAGCAAATAGCGGTAGCCAAAATTGGCTTAAAACCCGCAGGAATTGTCCCGGCCTCTCCCCTGCCGGTCTCAGCCATGTTCTGTCTCTGCCGCTGGGGGGATGTGTTCTATCACAAAGCAGAGGTGGCTTCAGTGGCTCAAGGGACTGGCACATAGGGGCTGTACATCGGGAAGAGTATTGCACAAGAACTAACATATTGTGGCCTTGTCTCAAAAAGGACAGTGCTGGCATCTTTGCCACTGTGGCTGATGAAGCAATCTGGTGTAGTTTGCATCATTTCTGAATTCTGACTAGGTCTTTCAGCATCGAGTACAGCTATAGCCCCAGATACATCCCGCAGCAAGAGAGTAGTAACTTGCAAGACATCGGTAGCATTGATGCCACAAGAGTGGAGCTGTGCTCCTGGTAAAATCCTGCTGTGATTTTGGTAGAGTCCCACGGGGGAGTACCTGGTACCGGATTCAGAGGAGCTGGGGTGTGTCAGATACTGTGTGGTGTATGACTTCAAGACCAGCTCTCTGGGTTGCTGTGACTATGAGGAAGAGGAGAAAGGAAAAGGTAAGTGTGAGACCCATGTCAGTCAAGACCTCACTGCTGGATAGATATTCTTCCCATTCCTCATTTAATTTTATGAGCTGATTGGAAGAGATGCAGATTTACACAGTTTTATTTGAAAAACTAACATCTTTCCTATGCCTCTGGTTTTTCACTGTGTTGCATATGTTCTTAGGCTTCAAAAATCCAGATTTTATTTCAAAGCACCCTGGCAGGCCTGGTTTCCTTTCTGTGGACTGATCCCTCTGAAGCTCCTTAGTGCATGTGAGGAATGGGTTCTCTTTTTTACCACATTTCAGTGAGACTGGGCTTGTCCAATGCTTGCTTTTTAGGGAGCGGTGCTGCTTTAGAGACTGAAAACACTGACTCAAGTTCTGTATGTTCACAGAGTGAATACTTCCTTATTTTGAGAGTTATAAAAGGCATTCACATTATTGTATTTAAGTAGACTTAGCTTTAATAGGGGTGGAGATGGAGTTCACTGAGAAATGTGAAGAGCTGGAAACCTTTCCATGTAATTGTTCAGTCTTCCTTGAACCATAGAAATGTTTAGCTTTCACACATCCTTTGGCAAGGAGTTCTGCTGTGCACAAAACCACTTCTGTATGTTTGCTTGGCTCCTATTAGCTTTATAAAGGCTACTACAGTTTTAGCAAATATTTGCATCATTTTTAAAAGGAAAAAAAAATGTGGAAGTGTAAGGGGAATGAATAAAACAAGCATGTTCGTAAATGCTCAGTGATGAGACAGTGGCAAGGGAAGGTGTGGAGAATCAGAAGTGGGTTTCTATTCTGCTGATCTGTTTCTAAAGCAGACATAGCTAGAGGTAAGCGGGATGGATCCCTTGGGAGAAGGAGGGGGAGCAACCATCTCATAATGTACTTCACTGAGGGGAGTGTTTAAAACACATGTGAAGAATTTATTCAAGTCTTTTCCCCTTTGTCTACAGCAGACTACAGAAGAGGGCCTCCATAAAACTAAGATTATTAGATTTAATATTTCCCTATTATGGGAACTTACCAGAAGCATTTTCTAAAGAACAGTGGGGAGGGAAAAAAACTTTCTCTAGACCTACAAAAGAAACAAAGGGAGGTATAAAACATCAGGACAAGAGGTGAAAAGCAGCATGCCCTGTTACTGACCTGCAGCAACAGTTGAAGAACAGCCTAGCTTTTAACAAGGCTTTCTACAGACCATTAGATAAAATGAAAAGGAGTTTGCTGTCAGTGTCAGTAGGATGGATGTAACCCTTGGTGCTGGTGGAGGCACTCTAAATCTGCCTGGCAAATGGCTTTTTGATCTCATTAGATGCTGAGGAAGGAACTGCTGTCCAATATGCCAGAAGCTTACAGCAGTTCACCCGCCATCCAGTGCTCGTGCTGAAGGGAGGATACAAACGTTTTTCAGCTTGCTATCCTTTCCTGAGAACTCAAAAGATACTGTGGATGCCTCAGGTGAGCTGAGACTAATTTGCAAGTAGAAGACATTAGCATTCATATTCAACTGGTGTTGGCTAATGAATTCAGGTTAAATGTGGTGTAAACCTGATATCAGAGTTACTTCAAAGAAAGGAATTAAATGTAATCTGAGTTACTGTGCTTGCCTTGAGACTCGCCACTAATTCCTTTACAGCCACACTTTGCCTTTTTTTCCTCTTCTATTGCGTGAAAGAAAGCTCATGAAGACAACCTGGGAAGGTTTCTCTGATAACCCCAAACCTGGCCTACAGGAGAGTACAGATAACTAAACAAACAGTAGCAAATGATGAAAAGAAGCAGGTTCCTCTCTCGCACGTGGTTATCTGGGATGGTACACAGTACATGTTTTCAGATGGCAGTATGATTCCTGTCAAGCACTGCGTTCCATGTCTCTAAAGCTTTTCATCAGGCAGTATCACAAAGCAAGCGCTGGTGCATTGTGTCAACAAGCCCAGAAAGAAAACAGCCATCCACTGGAACATTGGGATCCCAATTGTTTGGTTTCATTTACAAACATTGATCTGTTTAGCTTATGAGAAACAATTACCCTTTTTTTCACATCCAGGACAGGACCTGAGGCAGGGCAGATTAGAGGGACAGCAGAGAGCATTTCATTGCAACATGTTTTTTGTTTCCGTTGAACCTCTTCTCTTCTGGTTCAGGTGAAATAGCCCATGACATGGTGCTGATCTGGGGGATGCTACAGCACAGGAGGGAAAATCTATTCGCTTTGTGCTTCCTTGTGAAGGGTAGCAAACAGCCAAACGTCCCCATCAGGTTCAGTTAGACACAGAGTTACCACCTTGCCTCTCAGCTTAAGCTGTTGTTCTCTGCTGCTTTAAATTGTCGGGCTGCTGCTTTGTTCTGCTGCAGCATTAGCCAAGTATCAGTTAGGGATGTAGAGGCACTGTTGGCTACTCCTGTATTTTTGTTCCCAGCCTTCACACTGCAGGCATCGGAAGCAGCTGCAGATTTGTGTTGTGCCACTACGGGGCACCTGCAGCTCTGCAGGTGGCAGATGATTCCATTTAGCCTTGCGACCAGTAGCTGGCAAGAACATCAAATGAATCTGTTATGCTGCAGTCCCTCCAGATAATGTAAGAAATATATGCTGCCTCCTGTTTAGTTAGGATTTGTTTCAAGTAATGCCACAATGACAGCACTGCCATTCATTATTCTCAGTAAATCTAGCAAAGACTTCAATCTGCAGAAAGTCCAGGTGATTGAATGAGTCATTACGCTCGAACGTGTCATGGGCTGTTGACTAAGTGTGTGTTCAATTCTTCACATGACTTCTGTTTAACAATTTACCAAGCTAATAGGAGCAAAAGCACTCTCTAAACTGAGACTATGGTTTCTCTCTGGCAGGAACTAGACAACTTTCAGCCATACCCTGTAGAAATACTGCCTGCAAAATTATATATGGGCAATTTCAAGCAGGCCTGTGACCAACAAATTCAGAAAGATCTGAAGATCAAAGCACAAGTCAACATCTCTGAACAGCCTGCCACACTGTAAGTTTAATAGTTCAAGGTGTACCCTCACCAACATCTGTGCCTGTGAAGAAAGTGGGGTGGCACAGCACCAGAGCCCATTTGCTGCCTGTGAACTTCCTAGGAAACCTCTGTTAGGATTCAAACCTCTGCAGAGTCAAGTGCTATTTCATGCTCATTTTCCCAATCTCTACTCCAGAGTTAGCACAGCAGCAACACAGTCCTGCAGCCCTCAACCATGACGTGGGTGGACTGGGGGACAGGAGGACTGGGTGGCCCTCAGCATTTTGAGTCTATGGCATACCACCATCCTTTGGGAAGAACCTACATCTCTGAATAGCTTTCAGAGCAAAGTCTTACAAACACATCAGTGTAAAAGTAACCACAAATGTTTCACACTGTTGGTCTTCCTTCCTTACCTACAGCTGTCCATGACCATTCAGCTCAGTCTGTAGGCCATGCTGGAAATGCCATTTCACACAGTCAAAAATCCAGTGGCATTTCTCAAGGTGGTGACCAAAACAAAGTAAGTAAAAATTCTGGTTATCTACCCCAGCATGTGTACCAGCAGGCATTTCTCATTCCTTTGGCTCCAGAGGAAAACATCGGAGGTCTCTGTGCCATAGGTAATCTTCCCATGACCTCCGCATGAGGTGCTTTCACGTTTCAGAAAGTCATCACCAGTGTTTAGCTCCGTTAGTTCTTTGAGTTGGGTTGTCGGAGCTTGTGGAAGGAGGAGGATGCTGTCATAGAAAACCACATGAAGGGAACGGAGGGGCTATGTTCACAAAACTGCCAACGTGCACGCCGTGAAGGCGCTCGTGCTTTCAGTTCAGCTGTTTTCATTTAGCTCTCAGATGAAGGAACCTGTAGGTTAAGACATCAGTGCTGATACCATGTGGAATGGAAAATCAGTAATAAAACTGGTTCTGTATTATAAGCATCTTGCTGTCTTACCATAACAGATCCCTTATCATAATGTTCATGGCGAAACACTCATATATGTAAGAGCAAACAAAATTATCAGCTTGCCTCCAACAAACACATTTTTTCAAAGCTGCTTCTCTGGTCCATGTCACGCCATGTGCTCTTTTCCAGGTTTGCAGAAGGCAACAAATACCTCCATATATCTGTTCCAGATTCACTCGAAGCAAATCTTTTTTCTTCCTTTGCCACCGTTTGTCATTTCATAGGTGAGTTGTTCCTGAATCTGGCATTCCTTGCTCACTCTAGGGTGTTAGATCAGAGTGACTGCAGTTCACTCTAACAAGAAGCTCAGACAGGAGGGTCATAATTGTTCAAGACCAGTATACTCCCAAGCAAGCCCACACCCTAAAGGATACCAGAGCTCCCCTGCTAACCAGCCTGATGGATAGAGACGAGATTTTACAGGGCATCTGATAATAGTGAGCTTTCCAAGCAATCTGAAAAGGCTTTGCTGCAGGATGACTACCAGCCCTTCATATGATGCCCTTCTATTCCTTTTGTCTTAAATACAACCCTTTGACTCTTACCAGCCCAAATTTTCAATCACCAGAGCTTTATTTGAACTAGAGTGTGACACACATTAGAGAACTTACCACAAGATGCTGCTAATCTTTGTGATTTGCAGTGTGACCCACGGTAGGGCCTAGGAAGACTTTCAGGTTGGACAGCATCAACCAGCCTTCAGCTGGTTACATCAGAGAGGACAAGAAAAGACACGGTCTAGAGCTCAGTGCCTGCAGCAGCACAGCAGACATAGCTCCCACAGCTCCATCCTGTGATGGTGTCAAACTGTGTCATTATCTTTCATCACACTTATGAAATAACACCTGCCACAGACCAAGGCCCTGCGGAGCTGAATGTTGTACAGATCCAGAAGCAAAAGACCACCCTGTCCCCGCAGAGCTCATAATCCAAGTATGATAGAAGAAATGACAGCCGAACACAAAAAAAGAAACAAGGAAACCATATTTGAGGGTATAATTTTGGAGTCCTGAACTGAATGTCATGATTTGCATGTATTGAAACCCAAATATTGAAATCCACATACTTGCTTTCCATTTTGCCCCAGGGTTTTTCTCAGCAGTATTTCAGAAAAAAGTTTCTTTCTCACATCAGTTTGTGGAAGTTTCTAAAACAGACTATAAGAGTTTATTGTCTGTAGCTCCTGTGGAAGTGTATACTGCTTACTTGGCAGTTGAACTGTTTACATGTCAGCCGAGAATAAATGACTTAAACTGGAACGGTTATGGGTGAACACTAGACTAAAGCTCTCCACATACTCTGAGAGGAGTGTGGATATCCTCATGCTAAGCGTAGTGAAGCCATTTCTACTCGGGTCTTAGAACAGAACTAGTGTCTCATGATGGAAATAAGTTAGAAAACACTGGTTTAGTGCTTGAAATCAAAACCCAGCAAAACCCCACAACCTCTCGACAACAGTAAAAGAAGAGGCTTTGCCCTATGAATTCTAGAGTTCAGTTGCTGATATTCTAAAAATATGTAATGCTATCTGCTCTGGAGAGGGAAGGAAAGAATTCAAAAGGTTATTAATAAAATATGCAACCTTCTAGGCATAGGTAGCAGAGTTAATGTGATTAAAAGAGACTGACAGTATCCTTGGGCTTGGCTTTTGTAGAAAATTAGTTTGCTGACCGTAGCAATTTTCACTGCAAAGTATCTGTCATAAAAACATCATAAAACCAGCGCCCTACCTGGCATGTACGCGCTTCCTGCTGCTGATCCCCATGGAGGGGTAAGGGATTTGAAGTCTAAGCCCCCTCCAGTTTCAGAGCCGATTCCTCCAGCTTCAGTGGAGAATAGTTAGGCTTGCGTCCATCAGTAATTTCAATACCTTTAACCCTTTCTGGGAAGAGTTTGGTAGGTGATGCCATGCTGAGCACAGCGGATTGGTCATGGGAGACCACTTTGCTTCAGTTAACTGATGTAAAGTTGACACTGATCGGTAATGAAGCATTGACTGGTCACTGTCATTTGGTTCGGGTCTTCCAAGCCATGTTTTAACTCCGTGGATGACTAAGAGAGGAAAATGCTGTCAGAAGCAGAAGCTGGCAGTGCCCGTCTGCTGCTGTCAGGGTTCATGAGGGTTGCTGTCGCTCAGGCTGCTGGCCTGTCAGCTGTCACTGAACGGGAGCTTGACTGTGCAATTGGAAGCTTGATTTCCCAGATCGCTAATTTGTGATTGGCGTTTCTTTGCTCAGATGCCCAGCTGGATTGCGGAGCAGTGCTGGTGTTCTCCAGCCTGGGGATAAGCCGGAGCAGCACAGTAACCATGGCCTATCTTATGCATTCCTGCCAGTTTTCTCTGAAGGTACATCCCTGTTGTATTTCCCACAGATAGTGGCTGGCTCTGCAGTTTATTTCTGTTTCTGAAGCCTCATTACTGTAGCAATGAGAAGGACGTTATCTGAGCTTTCATGAAGATCTGATAATGTAACAGGTTGTATTATATGAGATTGCATCTTCTTTATACACACTGGCAAGGAGGTGGTTTAGGTGTGATTTTGGATCTGTGAGTCCTTACCCTGGCACCTGTCATATTCTTGTATTTCCCTCCTTAACTACAGGGCTACAAAAATAAAGCAGTGGCTACAGATCTTAGCATTTCTGCTCTCCTGGGTCTGAGAAGGAGAGTATCTGGAAGCTACTGGAGTTAATCCCATCTCTTAATACCATGAGGTTACAGGAAAATTCAGAACCCGGTGCTTGCAGGGCTCTGATTTACCACTGACTTCAGCACCAGCACTGACTTCTTCCGAAATCCTATTTTATTTCTCCAGAAGCAATCCCCTCCCACAGATACTACTGTAGAGAAATCTGGAATGGGATAATACTGGCCCAAGAGGGATGTACAGGTTAGGTGGCAGTACACGCTGTTCCTTAGCTCTGAATAACGCAAGAAAAATAATGAATGATGGCTGAAAATAACCCAGCTGTGCAATAGCCCGGCGGCCTCTCCCCAGGTGCCAGGCCCTTCTCCCTTTGCACACAACACATGGACATCGTGCTGCCGTAGGCACCATCTCATGGTGGTGAGTTCCCATGGGAACTGAAAGGCACCTCCTTAAAAATCCTGCCCTTGTTTGGAAAGTGTTTCCTCCTTTGGGAGCTTGAGAGGGTTGATCCAAGCTCCACTGATGCTGGGCCCGTATCTAATCATTTAATTGGTTTTGTGCAAACATTTGCAACATAAGAGGAAATCTCTTACCGTCGCTGTGTGCCAGCGGGTAATTTCAGGTTGAGCCTGCCAACGGGGCTGCAGACACTATTTCGTCTCTGCCACTAACGCTGGGTGTGATTACTCCTGCACACTGATAACCATTCGCTTGCACACTGAATTACTGTAGGTGCTTGCAATGGCAGTGCAAAAGTCAAAAGCTGATCCTTGCAATTTCTCCCCGTTGGTATCAACAGGCTGGTCTCAGCATTTCACTAAGAGCCAGAAAAAAGAAGAGGTTGACACGGCAGTGCTGGGCTGGGGCTTGCCTGGGCAGTGCTTGCCCACTGTTGGCTGGGCAAAGCTCTCCTGGGGGATTAGCCTGGCAGACAAGTTGGTTTCTTGCAGATGAAAGCAGTGCAACAGATTCCCATGTGGTCCTTCAGCCAGCGTAGGCAAAGATCTTTGAAAGCTTCAAAAGACATGGATATTGCAAAAGAAAGGCAGATTTGAGATGTGTGGCCCCTTATTCTATTAGTAATTGATATGTGAGTGGATCTATTGAGTTCAGGGGAACTAGAGACATCCCCACTATGGGCCCAGAGGAGTAAATATTGGAAGATCAGCCTCAGAGCCTGCAGAATCACTGAGATTAGAAAAAACAAACCAATGGAGCACTATCTTCTAACCTTTGGTCTCGTTATGCTTAAGCAATCCCCCGAGTGCTGGGGGCAGTCTATTTTAAAAGCGGGAAGATGAGCACTGCTGGGTAAACCCAAGGGTGCAGCTGGAGTAAAGCGGAATAACGCCAGTCTGTCTGCCCTGTGTGTAGCAGAGTTCCTGGCAGATTACATGGAACTAACAAATAATTAAGATGGCTGTAATTAATGCAGTTGGATAACCGGAGCTTCATAGCTGCTCTGCCATAACAGGTCACATCAATCCAGAAACATGATAACCTTTGCTGCTTACCTGTGAATAGCTGATACTTCACTGCCTCGCTTATCAGCCATAGAAGAATCAGCATTTTAAGGTAAAAATCCAGCACTGCATTGCTCCATCAGTGTAAAATAATGCAAGATACCTGCCAGGTAGAGAAAGCAGCCAGAGCTGTCCTCATATCCAGGAGAGCAGAGTATGAAGGTGACAGGCTTCCCTCAAGTTCTCATCTGGATCCAGTCTGCCCCTACTCTACCTGCAGGTTCTTGCTAACACAGAGAGTAAATACAAAGCTGTGCTGTCTACAAGTGTAGCTGCCTTGAGTACTTACCTGAGATTCACTTTCAGTTCAAATTCCTAACGCTTCTTTGCTTTCCTTCTGTTTACAGAGAGCTTGGGACTACGTTCTGAAATGCAAAATGAACATGAGACCACACCGGGCCTTTGTGAAACAGCTCTCAGACTGGGAGGCCCAAATCTACGGGACCACGATCACAGACATCTCTGAACCAAATTACTGACAGGTAGCAAAGAGCACACCCAGGAAAGGCACTTCCCTGTCTGTACCACTGTGTCGGCAGAAAGTTCCTTGGACTCTGTTTGAAAAAAGATCTTAACGTAACGTCAAGGGTTTCATCTTTAGCTCTGTATTATTTTGGGTCAAGTTTTGGCTGTAGAAGGTGGTGGTTTGGGGAACTGCAGGATGTGGTCCATTATGCACTGCTCCTCTCTTGTAAGAGAAGGGGATTGTAACCTCGTATCGGGCATGCTCCTTACCACTGAGGTCATTAGCATTATCTCTGAAAAGGTTCGTGCGATAGTAAATTTAGAGTTGGACTGTGCCCACTCCCAGCCAGAGAGGTGAGACAGAAGTTGCTCATGTCAGAACTCCCTCAGCTGCCCGCAGACATGGACCTGGCCTCTCGCAGAGGTGCCCTTGGGTTGTCTGGCGGGACCCCGCTTCCCGCTCGCCACCTTCTAACGCAACAGCCGGGCCTCTTGCCGTGGCTGGTGATTTTGAAGCATCAATCCTGTTCTGTGAAACCCGCACTCGGTACCGTCCTCTCTCTCACCGCACTGTGAAGTCTTTGCCCTGACCTCACAGAATAAAACGTTACAGAGAACGCTCCTTGGCTTTCCTTGCGTTCTGTGCAAAGGATGTCCCGGGGGTTTCCATCCCAGCTCGCCCTCCCCGGTCGGTCAGCCGGACCGTCCGGCGGGGGAACTGACAGCACGAACCGCCCGAGCGGGCAGCGGGCCGGACCTCGGAGCTTCCGAGAGCCCTGCGGGGGTGTGTGTGTGTGTGTGTGTGCGCGTGTGTGTGTGTGTGTGTGTCTGTGTGTGTGTGTGTGTGTCTGTGTGTGTGTGTGTCTGTGTGTGTGTGTGTGTGT